TTTACTCCTAGTCTGTAGTCATCCTCTCCATAAGGAAAAAGCAATTGGTATTGCATTGCCATGAAGCTGGGGTGTAGGTCGCTAATTCTTAACAATCCTAATTTGCGATCCTCGACAATAATATTTCAAATGCCTATTGTTTCTTCAACATTTCCCACAATCAGTCCTGGAATTTCTGATGCAGATGACATATTTTGTTTCCTCCCATCACCACTCCTTAAGGCCATGATCACCAATCTCACTGTCATTAATTCTTTTTTATTAATTCTATCTCGTACCATGCAGAAGATTTTGACTAATACATTATGGAGATCTAACATTTCAAGTAGTCCCTTGACAATATCCTCATATAGTTTGTTGGTACTATTGATGGATATCATCCTGTTGACGATTTTATTTTCAGTATCATATATGTATAATTGACAGAATTTTGGAGTTGTTCTAGGTACAGGTTTCAAAGACCCTATATGATGATGATTTTGACTATTCAGACGTAAACAATATGGTCTTCGCCATTATTGTAAGTTTTATCAATATTTCCTCTCTAGGATGTAAAAGCAAATATACTATTATAGGATCTGATATTTTCCATAATTTATTACTTTGTCTACTTCCACCTAGGTATAAAAGTTCTTGAAGAAAACTAGGAGGTTCTTTTAAAAGAGGGAACTTTATTTTCCCTTTGCCACAACAAAGAGAGAAGGATGACTTCTTTGGTTTCTAAGATTTTTCTGCTCTCTCCTCACACCACAGCATAGCTTGGCAATATTCACATATAACTTTGGGTGGTCCAAAATTTTGTACCTCATTGTGGTCAACTGCAATTCAATAAGAAGGGCATTTTAATTAGTACCATTATACATATACATATACAATTAAATACTTGAAGAGGTGCAATTCAGTAAAATGTGTGAAATAACATGATTTTTTACAATAAAGTCCTTATGTTTGAAAATGTTATTAACTTCACATTTCATTTTATTAATAAATGGACGGGTTCACCTTCAAAAGCAAGGCTGAAAAAGTAATAAAATTAACATTAGAAGGGCATTTATTACCTACTGTACATGTTAATTTAAGCATACAAATTACATGTTTTCTCACTTGTCTGCTGCTCATTTGTAGCTTTAACGGTTGCATTGATGATAGAAGGTATGATTCTTCTGCTTTTATACTACTTCTGCTTTTATACTGCTGCACCTTTTGCCTTTTGTAGTTGCTATTCACTTCTTTATCAACAATTATATGATCATGCTGTTGTTTTTCAGACTCAAGGATGTTATTCTGAGTTCCATAATTCTATTGATTTCTAATCTTCCTTTTGATTTGTCTTAGTGTCAAATCCCTTGGTTGAGAATGCCAAGATCCTGCACACATATGCAAACTGTTAGACATAAGTACATATATTCTAACTTAATGCAACTATAATGCATCAGATTCACATTTTGCGTAGTTACCTTGAGATGAACTCTGTTGACCGTCTTCCATGTTTGCTGGAATTGTCAGGGAGTGTGCAAACCTGTGATTTGTAATGTAGCCCTCTTGGCTAAACTGCTTGTTGTATGCTATGGAGCAAACAGAAAATCTTGGCGTTTACTTAGAGGATTGTATTGGATTTCATTAATTTAGCAGGAACTTGTTGTTTGGTTCTTAGTGTCAGAACGTATTGTTTGGTTCTTAGTGTCAGTTTTAAAGTGTTATAGTTACAATCACAGTGGGCATCATAATGTAAAAACTCTTATGTCAACATCCTAACATCAAAAATATTGTCTTAGGCTATATATTTAGTTATTTCCACAACACATCACAGCACAGAAATAAGGATACTAGGATTAATGTGTATAAACTAAGAACAAATTTACACACAACTTAATTTGAACATTTTACCAAAATAAAGTAAGAAAATAACACCATACCTGATCCTTTCCTTACAAATGGTTGAATCTGTTGGTTTAATGAATAAATATTTTCTACAAATATAACAAAGAATAATTACCGACATTAAAAGAGAATTTAAAGAAGTATTAAATGCATAGCAACACTAAGTATTTCATTTATGCAAATGAAAATAAAATGGAAGAGGGAAGATTAAGGACAGAGGTCCCTAAAATAAAATTTGTTGAAAGTATAGTAGAGTTGCTCATCAAAATCTGGTCCTTAATAACCACACCACAAAGTTTTTCCTCCGACATAAATATTTTCCCTGTAGTTTTGCTACCTTTTTTATTCTTCATATGAGTCATAATTGTTTACTATACTATGTACCTCATGTAAATTTTCAGGGTTCAATTACTAACATTGTGGCATATTTATGGAAAACGCTAATAATCCATATTTTTAGTACTGTGCATTTGTTAAAATTGAAGCTGGAATGTAAATATTTGTGAGCTCACCTCCTAGAGTGGATGTTTCATCACCTTCTCATCCAAAAATTTATTTTTATTTTCACCCCTTCATCATGGAATCAACTTGATTATTCCTCGGGCTAGGTGAAAATGCATGGAATAGACTCCAGAGGTACATTCGATTTCATTCTTCATAGATTTGAATTAATTGTTATTGTGGTGTTCTCCTTTCTCTTCTATTTTAAATTCACATCTCCAATTTTGTTTCTTGTCATTAACCAGGGCCAGTTGCATCAAAATCTTCCATTTGTCGTACTTTTTCCTATCAAGAAGACAAATAAAGTTCCTTTTCCCCCTCCCTACATAGGAATACAATAGCTAGTGCATATAAGAAAAGTATTATTGATTCAAATCCAATGTAAACTTAATTTTGATTGGACATTTTCAAAAACATTTGACCATTATTCAGGGTTCAAATTGCTAACATTGTGGCATATTTATGCAAATGCTGATAATCCGTATAAAAAAGAGGCTGCATATGTTAAAATTGAAGCTGGAATGTAAATATTTGAAAGCTCGCCTCCTAGAGTGGATGTTTCATCGCCTCCTAGAGTGGATGTTTCATCACCTTCTAATCCAAAAGTTTATTCATCCAGTCATCCCTTCAATAAGGAATCAACTTGATTATTCCTCAGGCTAGGTGAAAATGTATGGAATCAACTCCAGAGGCAAGTTTGATTTCATTTTCTAAAGATTTGGATTAATTGAGTTTTTTCTCCTCTCCTTTCTCTTCTATTTTTAATTCGCATCTCCAATTTTTTTTCTTTTTAGTAACCAGGGCTAGTTGCTCAAAACCAATGTAAACTCAATTTTTATTCAAAACCAATGTGGATTAAGGGTGTGTTTGGTAATCAAGGTGATTTTCTTGTTGTGTTTTTGTAGAAAAACACCATGCCATTGTGTTTTTTTCATAAGTGTTTTGAAAACAACATATTGAAAGTTATTTGTTAAACCAGTTTGACCATTTAAATAGCGGCGGAGGTAGCCGGGCGCGCGCAGACCGCTGGCCGAAACGATGACCGTCGTGGCTTGGTGGTCGGCGGTCGCCGACTGGCGACGGGCCGAGTGGCCTGCTGAGGCGGCCGTGGCGGTGGCGGGCGGCGGGCGCGAGAATGACTGTGGCGAGCATCGTGATGGTCTGCGGCCGCATTGGTGCCACAGCGACGCCAGCGAAGCTTAGGGGAAAAAAAAAGGGATCTTAAAACATCTTTTTTTTGGTGTTTTAAGAAAAGTATTTATGTTTTGGGTTTTGTAAAGGCTTAGGTCAAAAAATACCAAGTTCACCAAACGTGTTTCATTATTTAAAATTAGAAATGACAAAAACGCCTCGGTTGCCAAACGCTCCCGAGTTATTTCTCCACTCCTTTCTCTTTTATTTTTAATTCACATCTCTAATTTTTTTTTCTTTTCATTAACCAGGGCCAGTTGCTAAAAACCAATGTAAACTCAATTTTTATTCAAAACCAATGTGGATTAATTGAGTTTTCTCTCCTCTCCTTTCTCTTCTATTTTTAATTCACATCTCTAAATTTTTTTTCTTTTCATTAACCAGGGGCAGTTGCTTAAAACCAATGTAAACTCAATTCTGATTCAAAACCATTGTAATCTCAATTTTGATTTGACATTTTCAAAAGCATTTGACCATTATTGATATTTTTCTGCATGCTTATATATTCAATTTCCCAAGATTTATTTGTTTGTAATATCAATTAGAGGAAAAATAGGAATGAATTTAATTTAAAAATATTTTGCAGCAACATTCAATGATAATTTTAACATTTTGAATACCCAATTACACGCTCTGATCATCTAAGTTAATTGAAAATCCAAAAACACAAATAAAGTTCATAAGCTAACACCTATAAATGAAATTAAAGAGATGAGAAATCTTACCTACACATCGTTCTCTTTCTCAGAAACCATTTCATTAGAATAATTTTTATGGTCATCCATGATTTTGGTGTAGAGGAGAAGGAAAAACAGCATACGGGTTAGTTTACAGTTGGAACTTTTTTAAAGACGTCGGTGTAAAGGAGAAGGAAAAACAGGTTGGTTCACAGTTATATATATTTTTAAAGATCCCTAGTAGAAAACAGGGCATTGGCGACGGGAAAATCCGTCACCAATGCCCCAAAATCCGTCACCAATACATATTGGTGACGGAAATGTCTCTGTCGCCAATAAATCCGTCGCCAATATGTATTGGCGACGGATTTCCCCGTCGCCAATACTTATTGGCGACGGACGACTATTGGTGACGGATTTCTTTGGCGACGGGTGATTCCCGTCGCCAATAAACATTGGCGACGGGGAAATCCGTCGCCAATGTTTAAACATTGACGACGGATTTCCCTGTCGCCAATGCACATTGGCGACGGGTAGATCCGTCGCCAATGTTTAAAACATTGGCGACGGAAACATCCCCGTCGCCAATGTTTTAAACATTGGCGACGGATCTACCCGTCGCCAATGTGCATTGGCGACAGGGAAATCCATCGCCAATGTTTATATTTACGCAAAAAAAAAATTTAATTTTCTAGTAACCTCCCATACGAGAATACACATATATATCGACATCAATCCAATAACAATATATTATAAAATCAACCATGATATACATTCACATTCCAAATGAATACTCATCCAATTTCATCTGTCAATCCACAATATCGAACAATACAATACTCATCATATAATCACGATCACAATACATCTCGCACGCTCAAATAATATTCATTCACTACACAATAAAATCACAAATATATTACATATACGTAAAATTCAAAAGTCATAATATGTCTTAACACAAGTCTCACTCACTCCTCGTCATCGTCGTTGTCGGCATCCCTGTTATCAGCGTCATCTGCATTAGAACGTCGTATCGTGCTGCTGCGCACTACGGGAGTACCTCCTCTAACCTGAAAAGATTATCACTCCACATAAGATACATATATACCAAAAATATCATAATAAATACATATATGTCACGTCATATATACCTCTCCACCACCATGAACTTCATGCTCGTCAATGAACATTATGATTTAGGTGCTGAGTCATTCCCTTCATCTGATTCCAATGCAGGTTGCGGATTCCCCTTGTGATGTTTGTTTGTATGAGAAATAAAATTCCAAAATAAGCTAACTAAAGAAGGGGAGAAGGGTGTGACATATTTTCATATGTTGTCATCAAAGGAAAATATAAAATAATCACTTCACTCCAACAGCTAACACGATCATTATTGTAGCAACTGTAGTTTATATGCATCATTAACATCATAATCCCATTGATTAGTAACATTAACACATAGAGAGAGGGAAAAAACTACAGCACACGCTAAGCTAAGAGAACTGCGGCCGAAGAAGCAAGTTGGATATCTTTCACCCATCACCAGCATTGAGACAAAAAAAAAGAAGCATGTATTGCGTAACTAACAAAAAACAATATATTAACCCTGAATCAAGAGTACTGAAAAAATGACATTCACTATAAAAGAACACAGAATTTGAATTTCTGCCACAAACAGAATTTATGTTTTTTCATAATCTTTGTGATCAAGTGTTTTGTTATTAACCTCTCTTCACGAAAATAATTTAGGCTTGCAAGATATAAATAGCTTAGTAAGTCTTTTTACAAAGCTTTACTCACAGCTTCATTATTATTATGTAGACAACATAACCATAATAAACTTGTGTCATGTTGATGTAAATCTACAAATTAGAAGTAAAGAATCTCGCTATAAATTGAAACAAAGTTATACTAGCAAAAAAATTGAATGGTGACGAGAAAGAGCTTACAAGCAAAAGCAATACAGATGGAAAGAAATTACCTGTGCATCAGTGATAGCAGGATTGATAATTTCATTTTGAACAGCTGAAGTGACAGGCAAGGGGGCTGATCCTTCTCTTTTGAAAGTATACGTAGCAATAATATCAACATTTGACAGTTGAAGGGTAGACTCCACAAGTTCTATTGCTCGAGTTCTTGCTGTCTCAATCTGTAGAATGCAAGTGATGAGTAATTTAGCAATACAACTAAGCTATGATATTAAGCAGAGTATGATATTGTAGAATATGATAAGCATTGTATGAGTTATAGGTGGACTTCTAAGACCTGTTACAAAATAAGCATACCAGTGAGACAACACGTTTCCTCCAAGACCTACTCTCTTGCTCCATCTTCATAGTACACACATCAACACTCTTAACCATTTCTTTAATAGATATCAAATCTTGACTGGCATTTTCATAATCTTGTTTCACAAGCCTTACACAAAAACTTAGCAATCGATCTGCAATGCCAATTGGTGTTTCAAGTTTAAGCCTCATTCTTTCCATACCATATTCTGTTGAACCATCCAAGAAACTGAACAGGAACTTTTCTAGTTCATAAAATCTACTAGTTGCCCACCGAGGATCGTTAGATAAAAGCTGATCATAGCTTCTTTTACTGTAATTTGAAGCAGAAATTTTTGCTTCCAGTGCAGAATGTGCAGACACAGGATACAACCTTATGTCTTCTACACTTAGTAGGTTGCATGTATTCTCTTTAATGAATGCAGTGGCTTCCTCAAGCTGAAATCAAGAAAGGAATAAACCAAATGAAAATGGTATGCAAAACATGTGTAACAGAATTGTATAGAATATTATGCAAAGGAAAAGAAACAACATAATGACATTTATGCATTGAACCTCACTGGTATTTCGATAGATATCCAGTTTGTTTAAAACAAACACAATCCTTTTCTTCCATTGTTGTACATAGAGAAGAAATGCAACCTGAAAATGTAAAAAGGAACCAGGTGTTATGCACACAAAGTATTGATGGAAAGAGAATGGAGTAAATTTCACATGTTCTCAACCCATTGTTCTCTACCAAAATGTTCTCTACCAAGATAAGAAATATAATTAAAATGGGAGGGCAAATCAAGAAGAAGAAAAAATATGTATGGAAAATGATCCACACTGGACTAAAGAATTGAATGTGACTTTGCAGAAATTCAGATATTTGCTGTGGGGACATCTTTTTGCTGAAGAATAAGAAGCCCAAGGACTAAATTTTTCATATCTCGATCCTTAAGGCAACAAGCTTAGAACCATGGCAAAACTTTAATGTCGGGGATTGTGAAGAGTTGCAATGACTCATGAATAGGTGGGAATACAGTACATACCATAACTTAGGGACGCAGATATTATGATTCAGAACATAGTGAAGACTCCTAACTCTTGCTAAACAGTATCAATATCAAGCTACTAAAGAGTCCTGTTGAAGGTCAGACTAAAAACAGAAGGACAAAAAAGGTTATTAGCTATAACAACTAAATTATTCTAAAGAAATATAATACTCTACATTGATATTATATTTAAATTCAGATTCTAATCTCATAAAAATCAAAAGATGCTATTTCTGTTTTAAACGTCAACATTGTATTAATCATTTTCCAACTAAATGAGAAAAAGGAAAAATTAAAGCCAAGCTAAAAAGGTCAAATCCACAAAAACTAGCACCAGGAAGCATCTTACAATCGGGGAGGAGGGCGTCGTCACGGAGAGAAGGGCGTCGGAGAGGGAGGAGCACAAGTCATCATCGCGGGTAGGGAGGGCGTCGTCGGAGTGGGAGGAGGGCGTCGGAGCGGGTAGGGAGGAGCACAGGTCGTCGACGAGAAATGGAGATGAGACTGAGAGATGGGGACTTAGAGAATCGGCGACGAGAAATGGAGATGAGACTGAGAGATGGGGACTTAGAGAATCGGCTGCCTCAGATCTAGGGTTTGTGAGAGGTCGGAGGCCTGTTCGTCCTGCTCATGAAGAACCTCTTCAGAATCACCGAGTTGAAGCTGCTGTCGGTCCTCCGAACCAAGAACTTGTAAAGCTGATCCAAAAACGCGGGAAATGGGAACAAAAATGATCGAATTCGATAAAAATCGATGAGGTCGGTAGAGATTTGATCGAATCTAACCTTGACGAGGAGCTTGAGGTAGACATCGTCGGATTTGGGCGCTGTGAGCGGGCAAGGGCGGCGAGCGGCGGTTTGGAGAATGAGGGGAGAGAGAGAGAGGCTGAGAATGAGAAACGGCTGTAGACTAGGGTTTGGTTTGGAGAACGAGGGATTTGAGAGATTAGGGGGAAACTTTTGGGGTTTTGAGAGGCGCGGGAGTTTTTGAGTCGGAATTTTGTGGGGGGGGCTTTTTTTCTTTTTCTTTTTTTGGGGAAATTTTTGGTTAACGAAGAGAAGGGAGAAAGAGAGATGTTTATTTTAAAAAGAATAATAATTAAAACACCCAAACGGTTTAACCCATTTGTGTTAAACATCTTCAACCGTTTGGTAGGGGTGTGTAAACGGTCGGTCGGTTTGGTTTTTATCAAATTTTGAACAACCGAAACGAACTACCCATTATTCAAAACCGAACCGAACCGTTGCAAGTCAGTTCATTTCGGTTTGTTTGGTTTGTCGTCGACGCCATGAAATCAGCATTCTTGAAAGGATTCAAAGAATTCGAGTGATTGGCACAATCTACAAGGGATTTTGCACGCGGTTGCAGGGGTGGAATGGTGAAAAGGGAGAGTTTGGGTTGAAGGTGAAGAAGAGTGTCGGAGTATTTGAAGGACGAGTTATTGATTCCTGGGTCTTGGTAGGTAAAGAAGAATAAGGGGATGGTGATGAAGGAGGATGTGGAATGACTCTTTTAGATCTAAATATCACATACAACAAATTACAGCCATGTGTCACGTATAAACAAATCACAGTCATGTGACAAATAAGCACATTCACTATCAACAAATTACAGCCAAATATCACATACAACACCCAAATGTCACGTATAAACAACAAATGTCACAAGCAACACCCAAATATTACAAATTTTAGCCAAATATCATATACAAAACCCAAATGTCACGTATAAACAACAAATGTCACAAACAATAGCCAAATATCACATACAACTCCTAAATATCACATACTACACCCAAATGTCACGTATAAACAACATATGTCACATAAAAACAGCATATGTGACATGAAACCGTCATATGTCACATGAAACTATCATATGTCACATAAGCAAGTTGACTTCCATAAAAGATACCTGGAGCAATTCTAAGATGGCTTGTCACATGAAGGACAAACATAATTTTATAGAAAAATTAAACAAGTTGACTTCCATTTCCTTATCAAATTTTACAAATCGATGAACTCTGTTAACCATCCAAACGACAAATTTGCACAAAACCAACTATACTAATAACCACATTAGAAGAGATTCCATCAAGGCTTCTCAACCTCCTCCTCCTCCTCCCCAATCCAAGCCCACACATCTGCCTCGTTGCCTTCTCAACCTCCTCCTCCTCCTCCTCATTCGATTTGCTCCCGAAGACAAAGCCAATGTTTTTCGTTAATTCATCTCCCATCAAGGCTTGCCGACTAACTTCTAACACCTAAAATTCGATTTGCTCCCCGAGCCCGCAACCTCTCTGTTCAAATGGAAATATATGTCAAGTAATCAAAAGAACCGAAGTCCCCACTCTAAAACTACTATAATTTCAGTTCTTTGTTAAATTCACCTTATTTCAAGTAAAGATATTAACTTTGTTACTCAAAAAACTAACTTTCAATCATCGACCACTCACCGGAGTCTTGATCACGAGAACGTCTGCCGCATCCTCCTCGATTCGGTCGCTCGCACCGTCGAATCGATGGTAAGCATCAGGAGCAGCGAAGCGCAGAGGGAACGACAAGTGCCACGTTATAGAATGGGCCCCAGACATACAAGAAAACCCTAGGGATCGGTGACCGGAGCTCCTCGATCTCACCAGAGATCAGAGATGGAGACGAGACTCGACGCTAAAACCCTCGTTCTGATCAGAATCCGCGCTGGGTTTCCGCTGAGGAGGGGGTCGGGGTGGAGGGGGAAAGAGGAGGAGGAGAGGATACGAATGAGGATGGAGGAGGAGGGGAGGAGGAGGGGAGGAGGAAGAGGAACTTGTCGTTCCACGTGAGGTTCGAGGAGCCCACGCGGTCGACGCTGGTTCGAAGGGTGTGGAGGCTACGGCGTCGGCGGTGGTGGGAGAGGGGGAAGCAGTGGTTGGGGAGGGGAGGTCTTGGGCCAGATTAGGAGGAGGAAAGAGATTGGGTTTTAAATGGGGAAGAAGAAGGGTAATTTGGGAATGTTTTCTTGGGCAGTGAGTTTTAGGACTTGGTTGCACTTCTTTTTTAATTTTAGGGCTTTTTGGTTATGGTTTTCGGGCTTGGGGTGGGGATGCATGGCCCAATTAAATTTGGTTCCCCCAAGCAATTTTTCCATATTAAAATAATTCTTAATTTTTTGTGGGGCCACTCATTAACAATAAGATAATCAATCACTAATGTTAATTTTTTACGATGGACACATTAGCATTGACGATGGATCGGCAATAAGTATTGGCGACAAAAAAACATTGGCGACGGATTCGATCCGTCGCCAATAAGTATTGGCGACGAATTCTATCCGTCACCAATGTTCCGTCGCCAATACTTATTAGCGACAGATTCAATCCGTCGCCAATAAGTATTGGCGACGGAAATGATGTGTCGCCAATACGTATTGACGACGTAATTGATCCGTCACCAATGTTCCGTCGCCAATACTTATTGGCGACGGATCGAATTCGTCGCTATTGGCGACGAATCGAATCCGTCGACAATACTTATTGGTGACGGATTTGATCCGTCGCCAATGTTTTCCCGTCGCCCAAGGTTATGGGCGACGAAAAATCATTGGCGACGGATTGAAATCCGTCGTCAATACAAACATTGGCGACGGGAACAACCCCGTCGCCAATGTTCCGTCGCCAATGTTTGTATTGGCGACGGATTTCAAATCCGTCACCAATACCCCGTCGCCAATGCTCAGTTTTCTACTAGTGTTACTTGGGATTTTTTCAGAAGGAAAACAAATAGGAGGCAGGAGACGTGGGAGTTACAGGTTGGTTATTGTTGGAGAGAGAACGTGGGTTGTGTGAAACGTGGGTTGGATAGTAGAGAGTACGAAGATAATTTAGAACTTAAAAAAAATTGTGATTGGCTCAACCTTATGTTACTGTTCATTTTAGCTTTTTTATTGTTCTCCTTTAGTTAAAAGAAGTAGTTTATATATTAGATTTACTATTATTTTTATTTAAATATTATTAAAAATCAATGTAATGGATTTTTAAGCTAAACTAGGATGAATGTACCTAACTGGGATATTGTAATTGTCATTATGAATCATAGTTATAGCAATAATGAAATCACATTTCTTATTGCATTGAAAATAGAATTAAACAACATTTTTGGATATTATAAGCTTAACTGGGACATCTTAATTGATTTCTTAAGAAAAAATATGAATTGACATAATAATATCTTCAAGTAGAATAGTAAAAGAAAATAAGTTAAATTAATAATTTATGTCATATTCCAAACTCTAATAATCCCAAAATATAATATGTAGTCAAGCATGAATAGCAATATCATTATGAACTAATGTTCTAGTAAAAAACCACATTTCTTATTACATTGAAAATAAAATTACACAACACACTGGGGACATTATAATCTCATGTTTTATAATAAACAATTTTACTAAACCATAATAATCATATAAAAATAAATTGCAAGGAATGGTTCCGAGATACCTCTTCTTATATGAGATAATAAAAATCAACCTATACAATAATATGCATTATTGAAAAGTAGTAGGATTTGATCAAATCCAAAAAGAAATTTATAATGAAACTCAAAGAAACATGAAGATTTTAATCAAGTACGCATTGTAGAATATTACAGCTAGAGAGTAATTGTCTAAAAGTAGTAAGATTAGAGCAAACCTATAAACAAATTTAGAACGAACTCAAAGAAACATGAAGATTTTAAACAATTGCACATCATAGAACTTTACAATTAGAGAGTAATTGTCCAAAGGCAGTAATATTAGAGTAATCCCATACAAAACTTTACAAATAAAATTTGAAGAACAAAACATACCAATTACAGAAAAGACAAGGAAATACACCTATAATTATCCAAAAGCAATAATTAAAATACAAAAACTAAATAATAATGGTAATTATAGTATAATTTTATGTGATGAAAGTAATCACATAAGCATACAAAACTACTAATAATATTGTATGAAAATCCCTTATAAAAATTACTCATTCTACTAAAAAATTAAGATATGATATAAATCATCAAAAAAAATTTATCATTTATTATTTTTGTTTCATATTTTAATTGAACCGATATCAATCTTTCTCCACCTTTATCTTTTTCTTGGGCAATTCTAGAGTAGCATCTTCATCATCTATGTCGATTGTAATATCAGGCTGGAGTTGGATTTTTTGTGTTATTATATTTCCTTCGCCTCATTCATCTTTTGTTTTTTCATCTAACATAACCAGGAATTTGAACATTTTTTCGATATTCAATACAAATTTCTAGAAATATGGACTCTGATTATTTTCTATTTCAATGAGAACAAATGTTATTTTGATATATATTAAAAATTTTTGATTTTCTAAATTATTACTTGAATAGAGTTAGAAATTACCTCCTTTCCTATAATGAATTTTTCTGTTGCGCATCCAATAAGAGTTTCTATCGCATCAAACAGTATTACTCTTGCATTATCCGTGCTATTTTTCACGAGAATCTTAACTATGTACCTGTAGTTTTCATTGTCAATTTCTAGAGATAGTTAATATTGTATTTTAATATGTTCATGCCATAAAAAAAGATATATTACTTAACCTTGGTACTAATTCATCAATGATTCTGCGACTTTTATCATTCAGACTATCTTTACTGACATCTTTATCTACCTTCTTGTTGTAGCCTTTGCAAGCATAGAACCATGGCTCGAGTCTATTCAAAATAGTAGTTATCTTTATCTTAATTGTGCAATAGTGTGTCTGTATATTGACAAATTTTAGTTAGATTTAAATGTGTTAATAATAATAGGTTTCTAATACTGTACCTGTATCGAATTCTGTGATGTATGCATAATATCACAAATTTAAATTTCTTTTGCATTTATAAAAAGAGTTGATGGAGATCCTTTTGTTTTTGCGGCTTCTTCCAAACGAAACCTGCATATTAGATTAAAATATAATACTATTTTATTATTGCGTTTTATGAAAGTATGCTTGTTCAACTTATCATTCCCTTAATTCTTTAGCTAGTTGTATTTTTGGGTTGATACATATTATTGATATAATTTGCAATGATATGCTTGTCTCCCCTGCAAAATTGAGATAATTATTGGATGAATTTTATATTTAGCTGTCTTTAATAAGATTTTCAGTAATAAATTATGTACCTTTATATATAGAGATTTTAAAACCTGATAATGCTATTACAGGTTTATCTTTGATTTTGGCTTTAAGAATTGATCCTTCATTTGTAGCCAAATCCCCAAATAAAGTTGCGCGCATAGTTATTCCACTGTATATGACAAAAGAAAGTACGTTAATCTTATTTTTTCTTATGATATTGGGAATAAGTATCACAAATATACCTTTTATCCATTAGCGTGATTTTCCTCCTATTGTCTGGTTTGTTATATTTTGCAATATAGTTGATTATTAGCTTCACGTTAGTTGTTATTGCAAGAATATGTACAAGTAATTTTATAAAAAAAATTATGATTCTATAAAGTAATGTCTCATTTTTTATTGAAGATTAATGTAAGAAATTTATAAGTACTTACTAATTTTTGTTGCATCTTTCATGAAAAATGCTTCTTCAAATGGGAAAAAGTTGTTCAATATGTTCTTCAAGTGGAAACTTGTTGGTGCTTCTTTGATAGATACGTTTTTTGTTAATACTAATTCAAGTGGCTTTGTGGATACTTGGAAAAGCTAGGTTTATGCCTTTCACTTCTCTATTTGAAATGAAAATAATTTGATTCGAACCATATCAATAAACTTTTCGATAGTCTCTCCGTATATAACTCCTTTTATTTTATTACCCTGTAAATATTATTAACACCAGAAATAAATATTTGGAAAATATAATTAATTAATACTAAGCTCTATATTATATTTTATTTAGTTATATGTAAACAGAAAAACAACATAAAAAGGCATTCTGAAAGTTATTAGGGTTTTAATGAAATTTATCGAATAGATAATAACAATCACAAAAAAAATACAAGCTGGATTATAAATGCTGAATATAAACGCTGATATTATGACAATAAAAAAAATACAATCTTTTCTCCTTGTTCTTCCATTACAGACAAAAACTTTCATAACCCAAGCAGCAATATTTGTCTTTAGAACTATGCTTGGAGGCTCTAGTACAATATCTAAAGCCAATTCTATATCAAACTCCAGAATAGTGATAATCGCCACATTTTTAAATTCTCTGACAATTTTATATCTCTTTACATAAGTAATGGATATACTTATTATTTATACTCAAGGTAGGATCTCACGATATATGTTGTCAGTTAATGGCATTGTACTAATTGATGAGAGAAGACCTCGAATTAAAAGATTCCAAATTAATATAATGAAAATAAAATAGTGTATAATGTATGTTAGCAAAACAGTATGAATGAGTGCATGACGTACAGATAAAAGTTATGTTTATCTAATTAACCAAATGTTAGATTTCATTGTATCATAAGAATACTTTCACATGTTACCTTTCGAAAGCTTTAGTTCTTCAGTTGATATTATTTCTTGAGTTTTGAAAAATATATACTACTTTCTGTATGTAGTATCATGATTATGTTTTCCTTGGTCTTACATATTTTTGTGCATACACCAATTTTAATTTGATGATATCATATATTTTTGAATTCTTGTGCAAGTATCAAAACTCTTAAGAGAATCTGGCATATTCCTGTAGACTCCAAAACTGAATTTTTTATATTTATGTGTTTGTAATTTTCTTCTGTATTTTTGCGGAATGAAAGACAATAGACATATTGGTCTATATTAATACTACATACAAATTCCATGTTTATTAAATTTAGAAAACTTTACGTTGGAAGTAATCGAAGTCATTATCCAGTGAAATAGTGCAGACATCATGTTACTTTTCCATGGGGACAACTACTGGTGATACGAAACTAAAGTTGATTAGTTCAGTGGATGAAGGATTCAAATAATGAAAGATTAAGATAATGAATAAGAAAAATAGGGGACCAACATATTTCCTTCCGAGAACTATTAAATAAAATTTACACTATCACAAATACAAATCACAAGATGCATGAAAGTTTTAAAAAATTTTATAATTTTATTTACCCCACTATCAGGCTGGCTTTTACAAAAAATTATAATTAATTACTTTAAAATAATCTAATGTAATCTAATAAGAAGAAAATAGATGGAAGTGCTATAAAAATTATTGTAATTAGATACCATGATTAATTGACTAAAATAAGAAGAACAATATCTAATCAGTTCATAATTTTAAACAATCTAATCTAATTCTAATAAGAAGAAAATAACAAAGATGAAAAGTCATCATTATTAAATAAATAAAGAGAGACACTAAGACTGAACCTTTAAGAGAGAACAGTTGATAATTGCTTCAAAGTCTGAGAAATATTTGGTGAGAGAAGAAAGTGGATTTTATGCTTTATTTATACCCGAAGAGTCATATTGCTATAATAAGAATTTGGTTATAATACGAATTCGGTTCTCTTTGTGAATGCACGTATTAAAAGTAGATACAATCATAGCACATGCAATATGATATTTTCTGTAATATAAACTTATTATATTATTATTAATAAAATAATCATAATATGTTTTACACGTGCAAAGTAGATAAATTAGTTTAAACTTTTAGATAGTGTATAATATTTCAAACTTAAAAAATTATAATATTCTTATTATATAATATCACGTGTTAAGAATAGATATATTAGTTGTATTAAGGATAGATATATTAGTTTAAACTTAATTTAAAAATTATTAGAATTTGCTTAAGCTAGAATTTTATTAGGATTAGGATGGTTCAAACTTTGAAGTTATTTGATTAGCATTAGAATAAATTATTAAATACAATTTAAAAATTAAAATTAATTAGTGATATGATAGTTCAAACTTTATAGGGGTATTTTTGTCTACAGAAAGATTTTTCCGAACTTGTGCTTTTAAAGGAAGTATGATATATATATATATATATATATATATATATATATATATGTATGTGAAGTGCACCGAAGGGGATCATCCTCTCTCGGATTCAGGAGTTGTTCTAGCATACCAGAGGCGAGTAACATCTCGCCCAGCTCTCTCCCAGTGTTTGTATAGTTTTCTTCGAGTTTTATTTTGTTTTCTTGAGCCTAAAACGTATTTTGTGCATAAAGATAGATACTTTATATTATGAGCAGCAAGATCTATATTTTCAGTTTAATAAAAACTCACCAACGATTTTGTAAATGTAGATCCAGATCTAGAATTTGTTTAAACTTGGGTTTCATGTGATTTATTGATTTCAATGTGTTTTAAATATGGAAAAATATATTTATGGTTTTGTGTAAGTAATCACATGTAAATTTTCGTTTCAGTTTGGTACATATATATGTAGGAATCATGTTTACAATTGCTGGAAATAATGAAGAGAAACTTTAGATTTAAATTTTTGCAGAAAATCAACGAAAACAAAAAACTGGGAAATTTCTGCTCAGTTGACCAATGAGTCGACTTATCAGCCGACTTATGAGACGATTAATGAGTCGACCAATGAGTCGACTGACGAAAAATTTCCAACCTTCTTTCTTTTCTTCTGTTCTGTCTGGTCGACCAATGAGTTGACCAATCCTAGTCGACTTATGAGTCGACTGACGAGGAATTTTTCCTATTTTCCTCGGGTTGGATCTGTTTGGGTTGTTTCTGTTTAACTGAGACTGTCTATGCATGTTTATTGTAGTTGCGTACTTTAATATGAATGAGGAGTCACCTCGAATACCTGATATTCGATATTTAGGTTTATTTTGTATCGCTACACGTGAGATGATTTGCGGACACGAGTTTAGAGTTACATACCGAAACACGTGAGGCATTAGGGTATATGCATCTTTCATATATTTCATCTAGTCCATGTGTTGGGCTATTATGATTATGCATCTTTCATATATTTCATCTAGTCCATGTGTTGGGCTATTATGATGTGCAGTCCATGTGTTGGACATTTGTCACATTTTCATCTAGTCCATGTGTTGGGCTATTATGATGTGCAGTCCATGTGTTGGACATTTGTCACATTCAGTCTATGTGTTGGACAACTTTCATATGCAGTCCATGTGTTGGGCATTCATTACATCTAGTTTTAGTCCATTTGTTGGACATCAGTTTAGACCTTGAAATTGACACTTATACTTGCGTAGGCTGGACATGACACTTATATGGGGTGTGACATGACCTTGTATTTAAGTTTTGAGATGAGTTTATCTTCTTTTATTATTATTCATGTATTAGATTTTGGGTTTGGTATTTAGGGATTTACAATTTGAGCTACATAGTATATATATGAGGGTTTTCATGTTTGGATTATTTCGCTCGACATACCTATGCTCGTGTTGTAATTTCCTAAATACTAAAATCCTCTTATATATAGGTATTTTCAATTTGAGCTACATAGTATATATATGAAGGTTTCCTTGTTTGGATTATTTCGTTAGACGTATTTATGCTCATGTTATAATTACCTAAATAGGATCAGTGATTTTATATATATATATATTATAACTGTATTTTCTGTATATAACGAGCCCTTTCCCTTGGGGTTGGTTGTGATGTTGCTCTCTAGCGCTTTGACGCTCGTTGTCCTTCTCCCTTTCAGGTAACGAGTCAAGAGCCCGGAGAATCGCAGGTTGATGGCGACACACTTTAGCTTCAGTCGTTTATTATAGTTATATTTTTCTTTTAAACTCCACTGTAGACTTTTGTTAGACATTTGAGAGTTTATTCTAGAAGTTATAAAGGTTGTGTGCCTTATTTCCTTTTGTTCAGACATTTGTATTTGAGACTTGTTGAGAAGTTCCAGTTTATTCATTTCAGACATTGGCTTGTACTTCAGTATGTTAGATGATAAAATATTAATTTGATCTCTATTATTTCATCAATTGACTCTTGTATTATCTTTTACTTGCTTTTGTACCTACACCTGTTTTTGACTCTACTAGAGAGATAGTAATTGTGATGGTGAAACATGTTATTGCACGGTATGGTGCATGACAGGTTTGACATTTCTGGTTTTACCTCGGACTGCAACCTTGTGTGAACCCAGGGATGTCATAGTTAGTATCAGAGCTCTAGTTCCAGTATCTTTAGGATCATCCTATGTCGAGTTGTGGAGCTAGGATAGAGTTTCATCGGATTAATGTATAGAGTCCGTAAGGATTCCCTAGTATGAGTGAGGACAATATATGCGTATATCTCAAAATTTGAGGATATTTTTTATGATAACTATTTTTGTGTAAATTTAAAGTATTTGCGTGAATACTAAATTGTTGCAAAAATCATATTGTGATATGCTATGTATGTGTATATGTCTATTTTTACTCATAAACTCTTATTTTCTTATGATCAGAGAGATGGCAGGACGTGGTAGACCTCATACTCGGAGAGCTGGACAGGCAGAGTCGCAGCAGGCTCCAAGAGAGATGGCAGGACGTGGTAGACCTCATACTCGGAGAGCTGGACAGGCAGAGTCGCAGCAGGCTCCACCTGAGCCACAGCAAGCTCAACCCGAGCTATAGCAGGCAACACCTGAGCCGTAGCAGGCTCCCTAGTACCTGATAGATCTTATGTCGCCCATCGTAGCTAGGATGGTAGCAATTGAGGAGCTTGTGACGAATCATATCGCGCCACCAACGCCACCACCACCACCAGCAGATCAGCCATAGGGGATACCAGCCGTTCCTATCAGCGAGAGACCTTCAGAGACCGCACCTGCAGCTATTCCACCAGCAGTTCCGGATAGAGCCACAGAGCAGGAGGCTTGGCTCCGTATGGTAGAGAGATACCAGAGATGAGGGCACCAGAGTTTTAGGGGTCATCAGACCCTCTTGCAACCCATAAGTGGAAGGAGGATGTGAGTAACACCCTCGACATACTTAATGTGGATTCGGTCCAAAAGCAGAGATTAGCATCCTACAGTCTGAAGGAAGACGCCAGGAGATGGTATCGACTCCAGTTCACTCCAGAGCACCAGATGACCCTATAATGGAAGGACTTCATCTACTTCTTTGACGGACAGTATATTTCTTCTGCAGCATGGACTAGGAAGGAGCTTGATTTGTCCCGGTTGACTCAGGGGGACATATTAGTGGCAAACATTGAGAGCAAATTTATGAAGTTGTTGCACTTCATGAGTATGTGGCAGACAGGAGAGTGATAGGCTCAGATGTTCCTAGCAAGGCTCCACCCTAATCTTCGTCGATACCTCATCTCAAGGAAGTTCTATTCAGTTCGAGAGGTAGCACAGGCCGCCACCTCACAGGAGATTGAGACTGCTATGTTCCAGAAAGATAAGGAAGGGAAGACTAAGGCAGGACAGAATGGGGATAAGGGTAAGAACAAGAGACCTTTTTATGGATCTCAGCAGCAGCAGCAAGGTCCTCATAAGAAGGGACCCCAGCATGATCAGAGAGCGCCTCAGCAGTGCAAGTTTCAGAGAGTTTGCTATAACTGTCACAAGGTCGGACATAAGGCATCGGAGTGTCGCAGCGTACCAGTAGGAGCTCAGCAGGGCAAGGGCCCGAATCAGCAGCAGCAGTGATTTCAGGGCAGAGGTCAGGGCCAGCAGATGAGGCTTGAGGCACCGCTAGCAGCCCAGAAGACTGAGGGACAGATTCGTGCAGTTCAGGAGGTTCCTCAGGAGCAGTTAGTTCTGTATTCTCCAGCACTAGCAGCAGAGCAGACTTCAGCCGCAGGCAGAGTATATGCGGTAGTACCGCGTGATCATGGAGCTATCAGAGTAGTAGTGGAGGGTACGTTTCTTGTGAATTCTTTTCCCGCCCGTATTCTCTTAGATTCGGGAGCTTCGTATTCCTTTATTTCATATGATTTTATTTCTAGACTCCAGCTCGTAGCTCAGCCATTAGACACCCATTTATCAGTTTCCACCCCTTTAGGTAAGATATCGCTTCTGGAGAGCGTTTGTAGGAGGTGTACTATTAGTTTAGATGAGTCATAGTTCATAATCGATTTGATAGTGTTGCATATGTCCGAGTTCGATATTATCCTTGGTATGGATTGGTTGTCTTCCTACCATGTTAGTATTAACTACTTTATGAAGACAGTCAATTTGCGGGCATTCGATGGGTCCGAGACGATTATGGCAACCTCTCAGGGCAACCGTTTTGTGGCGTCATTTATGGCGTACATCGAGGAGATGATGCGACGGGATCAGGGTATCAGGATATCTTTCAGGACATACCTAGACTACCTCCTGTGAGAGAGGTTGAGTTCTGTATTGAGTTACAGCCAGTCACAGCCCCGATATCCCACGCACCCTATCGCATGGCATCAGCTGAGATGAGGGAGCTTCAGACCCAGTTGGACGAGTTGTTACCTTAGGGTTTTATTCGTCGGAGTCATTCTCCGTGGGGAGTGCCAGTCCTCTTCGTGAAGAAGAAGGACGGCAGTATGCGTTTGTACATTGATTATAGAGAGTTGAACAAGGTCACTATCCGGAATAGGTACCCATTACCTAGGATTGATGACTGCCGACTTATCCTTGCTTAGGTTTCAGGATAAAATACCCCAGAATCGAACTCTGGCGTCTTTTTGTACGGGAAAAAGACTAAGCCGGCGACACGTGTTAGGTGTCGGCATATCCTTTCTTAGGATTCAGGATGAGATTCCCCATGCGTGTAAGGCATGGATTTTGGTGTTACAAGGTCACTATCCGGAATAGGTACCCATTACCTAGGATTGATGACTTGTTCGACCAGTTATAGGGAGCGTAGTATTTCTCAAAGATCGATCTTCGTTCTGATTATCATCAGTTACGGGTTCGGGAAATGGATATTCCCAAGACTGCATTTCTTACTCGATATGGATCATTCGAGTTCATGGTCATGCCATTTGGGTTGACCAATGCACCCGCTGTATTCATGGATTTGATGAACCGAGTTTTTCGTCCCTTCTTGAATCAGGTTGTTATTGTTTTTATCGACGACATCCTCATTTATTCGAGATCGGAGGCAGAACACGAGCAGCACCTACGGTTAGATTTGAGGACTCTGCAGAAGTATTAGTTATATGTCAAGTTTAGCAAGTATGAATTTTGGCTTTCAGAAGTCAGATTTCTCAGCCACGTCATCAGTAGAGAGGGCATAGCATTGAATCCGGCTAAGGTTATAGCAGTTCTTGATTGGAACCGCCGAGGACGGTGACAGAGATTCGTAGCTTTTTGGGCTTAGCCGGCTATTACAGGAAGTTCATCCAGGACTTCTCGAAGATTTCGACGCTACTTACATGCCTTACGAAGAAGGGTGTACAGTTCATTTGGAGTGTGGAGTGCCAGAAGGCCGTTGATATCTTGAAGACTAAGTTGACTTCAGCGCCAATTTTGACTATTCCGAGCAGCGACAGGATATTTGTGGTCTACACAGATGCATCATTAGTAGGTTTAGGAGGCGTCTTGATGCAGACTCAGAGGGTAGTAGCATATATCTCACTGCAGTTGAGGGCACATGAGAAAAACTATCCCACTCATGATTTGGAGTTAGCTGCAGTAGTATTTGCACTAAAGTCTTAGAGACACTACTTGTATGGAGTACAGTTTGAGCTGTTCACAGACCACCAGAGTCTGAAGTATCTTTTCTCTCAGACGAAACTCAACCAGCTGTGGTCCTAACTGTAGGAAGGTTTGACCAGGTGACAGAGTTTGAGGTGACCCTAACTGTAGGAAGGTTTGATCACTTGATTTGAAAGTGGACCTCTCGTTCATTGGAGGAATCGAGAAGGGATTTTAGTTGTGGTCCTAACTATAGGAAGGTTTGACCAATCGGGAGATTTGAGACGATCCTAACTGTAGGAAGGTCACTACTTGTATGGAGTACAGTTTGAGCTGTTCACAGACCACCAGAGTCTGAAGTATCTTTTCTCTCAGACGAAACTCAACCAGAGATAGAGGAGGTGGATTGAGTTTATCAAGGATTACGAGTTCGTGATCCAGTATCATCCGGGAAAGGCAAACGTCATAGCAGATGCTTTAAGCAGGAAGCGTCGACATCGGGTTTCGGCTTTGAGGTGTTCATTGTATAGATATCTTCTTACTCTTAGCCAGTTTGATTTTAGACCCAAGATTGGTGGAACCAGTACATTTTTGGAGCTATGTCAGTGCAGCCATCTTAGAGTACCAGAGTTGTTAAAGCTCAGTTGGAAGACTCTTGGATTCAAATCCGAAAGGAGGAGATTTCCAAAGAGCCTAAAGATGATTGGACAATTGGAGCAGATGGAGGTCTACGGATGAAGGGTAGATTAGTTATGCCATCCAGTGCCGAGCTGAAGAGGGAGTTATTTGATGAAGCTCATCGTACTTCTTATACAGTGCATCCAGGAACCACCAAGATGTACAAGAACTTGAAGAGACACTTCTGGTGGAGTGGTATGTATAGAGAGATTACAGAGTATGTGGCTAAGTGTTTTACCTGTCAGCAGGTGAAGGCAGAGCATCAGAGACCAGCAGGAACACTTCAGCCTTTACCTTTCCCAGAGTGGAAATGGGCGGATATTTCTATGGACTTCATTGTAAGGTTGCCGAAGTCGAAGAAGGGGAATGATTCAGTTTGGGTGATTGTGGATCGGTTGACGAAGTCAGCGCATTTTGTTCTAGTGAAGACTACATATATAGCTGAGGTGTATGCGAGGATATTTATTCGGGAGATAGTCCGACTTCATGGAGTTCCTGATACGATTGTACATCTTCATCCTTGAAGGAATACTCTTTTTGGAGTCTCGGACCCGAAGTCTTTTGCTGCCTTCGAGATTGCTGTTGCGACGCTTGATTAGGACCACCAGCAGCTGCAAGTGCCTTGCCCTTACCACGAGAGGCGAAGTTTGAGTTGAGCGGATTAACCGTTGGTCGGTTCCTCTCGGCCTTATTCCTTCGGAGGAAGCGTTCGGCTTGTTCACCGCGCACCTTCAGATCCTTCCAAGTGTCAGACGGTGCTGTCCCCATTGCTTCCAATACGTCTAAGGACAGATTATTATGACAGGTCTGGAGAATGAATTCCTCGGTGATCGGGTCTCGGAAATTCATCGCTTTGTTCCGGAACCTTTTGACGAAGGTGTCGACTAACTCCCCGTCCTTCTGCTTCTCATGATACGATTGTGTCGGATCGAGGTTCAGTGTTCACTTCGCATTTTTGGAGGAGTTTCCAGGATTCGTTCGATAGCAGATTATCTTACAGCAGTGTATTCGACCCACAGACAGATGGTCAGATGGAGAGGGTGAATCATGTGTTGGAAGACATGTTACGGGCTTGTCTTATAAACTTTTAAGGTAGCTGGGAGGAGCATATTCATCTGATAGAGTTCGCTTATAACAATAGTTATCAAGCGACAATCGGTATGGCCCCATAAAAGGCATTGTACGGGAGACCTTGTAGATCACCGATATACTGGGCAGAGCCGGAGGACAGCTTAATGCTTGGGCCAGAGCTTGTGAGGCAGACTACTGAGAAGGTAGCATTGATTAGAGAGAGGATTTTAGCCGCTCAGAGTCGACAAAAGAGCTATACAGATAAGAGATGAAGACCCTTGGAGTTTTAGGTTGAAGATTCGGTTTTGCTGAAGGTATCGCCTATGAAAGGCGTTCAGCAATTCGGGAGATGAGGAAAGCTTGCACCAAGGTATATTGGACTCTTCCGAATTTTGGAGCGTATTGGAGCTGTATCATACAGACTAGATCTTCCAGCATCGATGTCTAGTATACACAATGTATTTCATGTTTCTATGCTCAAGAAGCACTTACATGATGAGGAGAAACAGAGAGTGTTGGATGCACCAGAGATTGATGTTTCTATGCTCAAGAAGCACTTACATGATGAGGAGAAACAGAGAGTGTTGGATGCACCAGAGATTGAGCTTTAGGAGGATTTGACTACTATTGAGATTCCGGTTTGTATACTTGCCAGAGAGGACAAGAGGCTTAAAAACAAGGTAATTCCTTTGGTGAAAGTTCAGTGGAACCGAAGAGGCATTGAGGAGATTTCTTGGGAGCGAGAAGAGGACATAAGTCGAGACTATCCACACATGTTTGAGCAGGTAAATTAAATCTTTTTGTATGACTTATATATGGCTTATAGATTCAATTTTGGCGATGTTTATACTTAACACTAAAATGAGGGTATTACCACTTATCTCCTAAGTACTCGGAACATATGGTATATATATGAGGGGTTCCTTGTTTGGATTTTTCACTCGATGTACTTGTTCCATTTAGCTAGGGGTTAAGTGGTGGTATTTACATTTTAGATGGTTAAGTGTGAACATCGAAGCTGATTTTCAAGAGCGCGAAGATGCTATGTACGCTACTTCCTGCATTTATTGAGGAAGTGGATTAATTTATGTGTATGATTATTTGTGTGATTATATTTAGATTTAACGCTAGAATGAGGATATTTTCGCTCAATTCTTAATCTTTTGGATCACATGGTATATATATGGGGGGTTCCTTGTTTGGATTTTTCGCCCGACGTACTAGTTCCATTTGATTAAGGGTTGAGTGGGAATATAGTCATCCTAGATTGTTAAATATAAATATCGCTATATGCTTGTCTAGAGTAATATTATTTGTTTGAGTATGATTTCTGAATTTCGAGGACGAAATTCTTTTAAGGGGGGAAGAATATAAAACCCCGTATTTTTGTTATATAGATATATGAATTATTGGGGATAAATAATTCTATTGTGGTAAATGACTTGAGGTCATAGATATACTTGATAACAAGTAATTAGATATGTTTAAGGGTATTCTTATAGAGTTTCGTGCATTGGTTTTGGCAGATTAACAAAACTTGTACGAATCTGGAAAATGTCGGCTTAGTCGACTCATGAATCGACCAATGAGTCGACTTACGGGCAGATTTCCAGATTTTTTTTATTTGCGGGTTTTTTTGGTTTTGTTTCGGGTTTGACCATTTGTATATAACCTCTCCTACCCGAAACCAACCCCAAAACCCATCAGATATCAGAGAAAACACTAGCCTCTCTCTCCCCTAAAACCCTAATTCGTTTTTGGTGAGTTTTGGGGGATTTTCGGAGAATTTCAGCAAGTTTCAACGAAGTGAAGCGAAGGGAATCATCCACTCTCGGATTCAGGAGTTGTTCTAGCATACCAGAGGCGAGTAACATCTCGCCCAGCTCTCACCCACTGTTTGTATAGTTTTCTTTGAGTTTTATTTCATTTTCTTGAGCCTAAAACGTATTTTGTGTATAAAGATAGATACTTTATATTATGAGCAGCAAGATCTACATTTTTAGTTTAATAAAAATTCACCAACGATTTTGTAAATATAGATCCAGATCTGGAATTTGTTTAAACTTGGGTTTCATGTGATTTATTGATTTCAATGCGTTTTAAATATGGAAAAATATATTTAGGGTTTTGTGTAAGTAATCACATGCAAATTTTTGTTTTAGTTTGGTACATATATATGTAGGAATCATGTTTACAATTGTCGGAAATAATGAAGAGATACTTTAGATTTAAATTTTTGCAGAAAATCAACGAAAACAGAAAACTAGAAAATTTCTGCTCAGTCGACCAATGAGTCGACTTATCAGCCGACTTATAAGTCGACCAATGAGTCGACTGACGGGAAATTTCCAGCCTTCTTTCTTTTCTTCTGTTCTGTCTGGTCGACCAATGAGTCGACCAATCCCAGTCGACTGACGAGGAATTTTTCCTGTTTTCCTCGGGTTGGATCTGTTTGGGTTGTTTCAGTTTAACTAAGACTGTTTATGCATGTTTATTGTAGTTGCGTACTTTAATATGAACGATGAGTCACCTCGAATACCTGATATTCGATATTTAGGTTTATTTTGTATCGCTACACATGAGATGATTTGCGGACATGAGTTTAGGGTTGCATACCGAGACACGTGAGGCATTAAGGTATATGCATCTTTCATATATTTCATCTAGTCCATGTGTTGGGCTATTATGATGTGCAGTCCATGTGTTGGACATTTGTCACATTCAGTTCATGTGTTGGACAATTTTCATATGCAGTCCATGTGTTGGGCATTCATTACATCTAGTTTTAGTCCATTTGTTGGACATCAATTTAGACCTTGAAATTGACACCTATATTTGCGTAGGCTGGACATGACACTTATATGGGGTGTGACATGACCTTGTATTTAAGTTCTGAGATGAGTTTGTCTTCTTTTATTATTATTCATGTATTAGATTTTGGGTTTGGTATTTAGGAATTTACAATTTGAGCTACATAGTATATATATGAGGGTTTCCTTATTTGGATTATTTCGCTCGACGTACCTATGCTCGTGTTGTAATTTCCTAAATACTAAAATCCTCTTATACATAGGTATTTACAATTTGAGCTACATGGTATATATATGATGGTTTCCTTGTTTGGATTATTTCGCTCGACGTACTTATGCTCATGTTGTAATTACCTAAATAGGATCAGTGATTTTATATATATATTATAACTGTATTTTCTGTATACAACGAGCCCTTTCCCTTGGGGTTGGTTGTGATGTTGCTCGCTAGCGCTTTGACGCTCGTTGTCCCTCTCCCTTTCAGGTAACGAGTCAAGAGCCCTGAGAGTCGCAGATTGATGGTGACGCACTTTAGCTTCAGTCGTTTATTATAGTTATATTTTTCATTTGAACTCCACTGTAGCCTTTTGTTAGACATTTAAGAGTTTATTCTAGAAGTTGTAAAGATTGTGTGCCTTATTTCCTTTTGTTCAGACATTTGTATTTGAGACTTGTTGAGAAGTTCCAGTTTATTCATTTCAGACATTGACTTGTACTTCAGTATGTTAGATGATAAAATACTAATTTGATCTCTATTATTTCATCAGTTGACTCTTGTATTATCTTTTACGCGCACGCACCCACAAACAAAAACACACACACACAATGTAGTATAACCTCAGAATGGTGGTGATGAAGGTACTCAATAGCTAAATCTACATTGATTATGATGTCAATCCTTTGACATAAGCTCAAGCAGTAATTATGGGAGTATAGCCATCTTTCCAGACTTCCATTGGGCATGAATTTGAGTACAAGTGCCTTGAAATCCTTGTTAGCGCAAGTGCTGATGATTCCAACAAGATTTCTGTGTCGGACCATTCTCAAAGCACGGCATTCAGCATCAAAACTCCTTGAGGCTCCTTTGATTTCCAAATTCAAGACCTTTATGGCAACAAGAAGGCCGTCATCTAAGAGCCCTCTATACACTGAACCAAAGGTCCCCCTTCCTAGCAAGTTTATTTCGCTAAAGTTGTTAGTGGTACGAACGAGCTCGTAGTATGAGATCAATCTATGGTTAGTAGGAGAGAGTATGCTAGTAGAGGCTGGATTCTTCGCTCTCCTTCTATGTGATCTTAATACGATGCAAAATCCAAGGAGAAGGATCCCAATAGAAGCAATAATAGGAAGGATATACCTTAGCAAATGCTTCCCTGAATTAGAATTTGTAGAATCAATTGGATTACAGTATGAAAAGCCTAAACTGGGCGCTCCACATAATGCTGCATTTCCTTTCAAAGACACGACACTCACATTTAAAAAGGCACCGCCATTTGGAACCTTTCCTTCCAACTCGTTGAAAGATAAGTTCAGGACGCTGAGATGTTTGAGATTGACTAAGGACTCAGGTATAACACCTGAGAGCTTATTCCTAGAAAGGTTCAAGACATCAAGGTTAATGAGATTACCAAATGATTCAGGAATGTGCCCGTCGAATGAGTTATTGGATAGATCCAAATAATTGATTTCAGGATACTTTGAAGGGCTTGGAAGTTTACCTGATAGCTGATTTACTGATACGTCAAATGCATATAAGTCCCTGATGTTCCACAATGCTGAAGGAAGCAATCCGGTGAGAAGGTTCTGCGACAGATCTAATGCGTCTATATGAGGCAAACTCCAAATACTTTCAGGAATTGCTGAAGATAATTCGTTAGTATTAATGAACAATTCGTTGAGTGCAGTGATATTTCCAATAGAGTCAGGTATGGATCCAGAAATACTGTTGTTGTCGAGGTACAGTTGGTTCAAGTTTCTTAATCGTCCGAGCTCAATTGGGATGGAGCCATATATCCTGTTGCTGGTTAAACCTAATTGCTGCAGCCCTTCCAGGGTTGTGATTTCAAATGGTATCGTTCCGAATAGCTCATTCTCGTTCAAGACCAGATGGGTTAATCCGGACAGGTTGCCCAGCTCAACAGGAATTTTCCCCTTAATGTGATTTTCGTGAATATTAAAGAATCTTAGGGTTCTTGAGAGATTACCCACAGTATGTGGAAGAATGCCATCCAGCTCATTTCCATTAACCTGGACTGAATCTAAAGTGTTACAGTTTGACAGTGATGCAAGGATGTCCAATCCTCCAGTTAGCCTGTTGAATCCTAGAGACAAGGATGAAAGTTCAAGCATGTTCCCAAATTGCAAACGCACTGGTCCATCAAGGTCATTTTCTTGCAGATCAATGATTCGGAGCGAAGACATGTTAGAAAGGGAAACAGGTATAGGACCAGTTAAACCACCAGAGAAAGAAATCTGCAACCCCTCAAGGTTTGTAAGTCGACCCAACTCTTCAGGAATATTCCCATGGAAGCCGCAGTTGCCAAGGCTTAGTTTAAACAGATTAGTAAGGTTACCCAAAGAGGACGGTATGGTACCTGTTAGGTGGTTGTCTCCAAGATACAATGTATTAAGTTGCTTCATATTTCCAATCTCGGACGGTATGCTTCCGGTTAGCTGGTTATAAGCCAAGCTCAGAAATTGAAGAGTACGACTACTACAGAGGCTTTGTGGCAAGCTCCCAGTGAGTTGATTACTATTTATAGCCATAATATTAGGGAAAAGTGGATGAAAGCTGCTGTTATCGGAGGGCAAGGTCCCTGAAATACCGTTGAACCCGAGATCCAACTCAATGAGAGATGACATGTTGAAAAAGGCAGGAGGTATCGGACCTGAAAGCTGATTATGCTCAAGTATGAGTACTTTCAGTCGAGGCAGCTGAGCCAAAGCTTCAGGGATGGGTCCAACTAAGCCGTCATTGGAAAGCGAGAGCAGAGACAGAAATGAAAGGTTGGCGATGAGAGGGGGGATGGTGCCGTAGAGCAGCATGTCACTAATGTTGAGAGCAGTGACTCGTTGCCTTCGATGGCTGCAGGAGACACCCATCCAGGTGCAAAAGGAGGCATCAGTGGTCCAGTTGGTGGATAGAATGCTGCCCGGATCATGTTCGATGACCTGGGCTTTGATAGCTAGGAGTGCCGAGAGGTCGGTGATGTTGTTAAGCTTTACCGCCGATGACGAGGCAAACAATAATAGCATCAGATGCATAGCTACTGTTGGGCGCAGAGTCACGCCCACCGCCGCGGAAACGATATCACCTGAGAGAGAGCCCTGGCTTTTGTTGTCACAAAAGCACAAGTCAACCTCTATATTCTTGTTTCTCAAAGGAAACGAGAATAGATAATGAAATTCTTATTTCTCAAAGGAAACAAGAATCGAAAGTGATATATTTCATCAAAGTGAAATATACACTCTTCCTCTCATCAGCTCTAAGACCGAATTTTGAGGGATCCTACAAGCAATAGCCAACAACCCAGAAAACAGTAAATACACGAGATTTACGTGGTTCGGCAAACTTGCCTACGTCCACGGGAGGGGTGAGGGGAGATTCCACTATAAGGAGAACACCGACGACTTGTACAATCCACAAGCTCGTCTCAAATATCTGATTTTTACCCAAAAGAAATAAACCTCTCTTTTGTAGAATCTCTCTTTTTCTCTCCTCTCAAGATCTCTCTTTCTCTCAATAAACAGCCGGCTAAACCCTCTGCAAACTTTTCTTCCCGCAGATTTTTTTTTTCTTCCTCTAAAGCCGCTGTTCCCTCTGCTGCCTTTTCCCCGTAGCTTTTTCCCCAAGCCACTGATCACCTTAGCCTTTTATTTCACCGCAGCTTTTTTACCCAAGCCGCTGTCCCCCTCTTGATTTTATTTCCCCACACCAAACCCTAGAGTGACCGGATATTTATAGAACAGTGACTTGGGCCTTGAGTTTACCCGCTGGACCTTGGGCTTACCCGATGCTAGGTTGGCACACGTTCACAATTCTCCACCTCGTACATCATTTGATAAACTTTAAATGTTGGACGAACACCAGAAGAACACCGCGAACATAAACCAGGCCAAAACCAGCTGCGCCACTTTACCGCGGCTGCCTACGTACCCTCCACCGGGATCAAGCTAACCGTAGTTCTGCATTTGTTCTCCATATAGTCTCCACCTCACCCATCCACCGCCCCGAAGGGCCATGCCCTCTTGGGCAAATCAACACGGGCTGATATGAAGCAAGTCCAAGCAATGCTTAAACTTGCTACCTGTGACCACCTTGGTCAACATGTCTGCTGGATTCTCATTCGTGTGCACCTTCATGAGAGAAATATCACCTTCCTCTATGACATCCCGCACAAAATGATACCTGACATCAATATGCTTGGTACGAGCATGATGAACTTGATTCTTCGCCAAGTGAATTGCACTCTGACTGTCGCACCACAAGTTCACGTTTTCCTGTTCAATCCCCAAATCATCTAGAAGACCTCACAACCACAATGCTTCCTTCACTCCCTCTGCCATAGCCATGTACTCGGCCTCTGTAGTAGAAAGTGCCACTGTAGCCTGCAACATCGATCGCCAACCAACTGGAGCTCCATGTATTTTGAATACATAACCAGTAGTAGATCGCCATCTATCTAGATCGCCCGCATAATCAGAGTCAACAAACCCGTCAATCTGACATGTATCTCCACCAAAACACAGACCCGTATCTGCGGTACCTTTCAAGTACCTCAGGACCCATTTCACCGCTTCCCAGTGCGCCTTTCCCGGATTCGCCATGAACCTGCTAACCACACTAACTGCCTGTGCTGCCAACTGCACTAGCATAGGGAACGCGCTCCATGTGTGCCTTATCTTCCGCTGTAGTGGGAGATTGTTTACCTGAAAGCCTGAAGTGTGGAGCCAATGGAGTCACCACCGACTTAGCACTTTGCATCCCGAACCTCGCGATTACCCGCTCTATATAGCCGTTCTGACTCAAGAACAATCGCCGATTCATCCGATCTCTTATAATCTCCATACCTAGTATTTTTCTAGCAGCGCCCATGTCCTTCATCTCGAACTCTTTACCAAGTTGAGATTTTAGCCTATATATCTCCACCCTGCTCTTTGAAGCAATAAGCATGTCATCCACATACAAAAGGAGATAAATATAATCACCACCACGAAGCTTTCGAATGTAAACACAGCAATCGTACTCACTTCGGGAAAACCCATGCTTCAGCATGAAGGAGTCAAATCGCTTGTACCACTGCCGAGGAGATTGCTTCAGTCCATAGAGTGACTTCCTCAAGCGACATACATGATGCTCCTTATCCTCAACCTTGTAACCCTCAGGTTGATGCATGTAGATCTCTTCATCCAAATCTCCGTGCAAGAAGGCCGTCTTGACATCAAGTTGTTCCAGCTCAAGATCACCATGAGCAACAATACTCAATAGCACCCGAATAGAAGTGTGTTTCACCACCGGAGAAAATATCTCATTGTAATCCACACCCTCTCTTTGTGCAAACCCTTTAGCCACTAGCCTCGCCTTGTACCTTGTACCACCGAGCTCTGAAGGATCTTCCTTTCTCTTATACACCCACTTACAACCAATAGCTTTTCTTCCTACGGGCAATGGGACCACCTCCCATGTTTGGTTCTTCCGAAGAGATTCCATCTCCTCCTCCATCGTAGCCAACTAACTCTCACTATTCTTGTCCCGAATAGCTTCCTTGAAGGAGATCGGCTCATCTTCCTCCACCGAGAGTGCGTATTCAACCAAATTAACCTGCCCATAGTGCTTCAGGGGTTGATCAGCCCCCAGCTTTTGTACCTGCTTGTATACTCGCTTTGGCCTAGTGGAAGCCAAAGTATCCTCGAGCTGCTGTTGTTGTAGTGCCTGTGTATTCTCCTACTGAACCTCCTCTTGCTCAAGCTCATCATCTACCTGATTTTCCACTTGAACATGACTAGAACCTGGTTGGTCTTTAGGTTCTATCTCAATAACCTGGGACTTTGAAGTCCCAACAGTCCCAACACCATCATCCTTGGGCGCCCTAGCAATCATGGATTTTTCATCAAAGGTAACGTCCCTGCTGATCACGAACTTCGAATCTTCTGTACACCAAAGGCGGTAGCCTTTTACGCCCTTTGAATACCCCAAAAATATCACCTTCTTGGCCCTCGCGTCAAGCTTTCCCTCGTTGACGTGATAATAGGCGGTACATCCGAAAATTCTGAGCCTCTCATAATCTGCATGTTCCCCTGACCACACCCTATAGGGTGTATCACCATCTAGTATAGAATGTGGAGAACGGTTCACAATGTAACATGCTGTAGCCACCGCTTCTGCCCACCATTCGTTGCCCAATCCAGCATAAGATCGCATACTCATTGCCTTCTCCCGCAATGTTCGGTTCAGTCTCTCCGCGACCCCGTTTTGCTGTGGTGTTGACCTGACTGTCCAGTGTCGAACAATGCCCTCCTGATCACAGAACTCCTTGAAAGCACCGTCTGTATACTCTGTACCGTTGTCAGATCTCAGTGTCTTTAATTTCTTACCTGTCCTGTTCTCAACCATTGCTTTCCACTTCTTGAATGTCTCGAATACCTCATTCTTATGCTTAAGAAAATAAATCCAAGCATACCTAGAATAATCGTCTATGAACGAGACAAAATACTTGGAACCACTTCTTGAATGTCTCGAATACCTCATTCTTATGCTTAAGAGGGAATGGTAGATTTCCATTTATATCAATAAAGGAGAACGTAAAGGATGAAAGAAATTGATACTTCACAAAGGAAAATGCTCGAACATAAATAGGAAATTCTCCTAAATTATTTGCTTTCGGCAAATGAATATCCTTTTCATAACTGCAAATGCAGTTTACCTAAAAAACTTATAAGATAATCATTTACAGGCCTGAATACTAAACACAGGTTTGATCTAATTGAACATGCTAATCATGTGACATTGTATGTTAATAACTTAGTTTAAGACAATACTTGCAAAGCACAAAACTAGTCAACTAAAACTCATGTCAAAAGCAGCCTTGAGCATCAAGCCTCTCTTAGCAACTACCAATAAATGTCTACCAAAGTTTATGGTTATTACTTGTCATATGTTTTTGTGCCACTTTTATTTTGCTTGGCTGAAATTTAAGAGTTTCTTTATTATGTATTTGCTACTCAAAATTGATGTGGTATTAAATTATATTTCTCAGCTATCATGTATTTAAATGATCAATTTAGCATCCATGATGATGGTAGTAAAGATGAGAGTACTTCTAAACATTAAAGAAGGCAAACATCAAAAGTTTGACATTACTTTATAAAGTTACCTACCAATAATCATGAGAAAACTAAAGTTCAATATAAAAGGTGTAATCATATTTATGTTAGTAGTCACGACACTAAGACAATATTGAGGTATATTGATTCTTGCCCGAAAAGGAACTTAGATGAGGTTGATTCTTCAAGGAAAAATATGTCACTAAATTAGAAAAAATACAGAAAAATGCTTGCTAGAATAATTGCATTGCATGGTTATCCATTCACTTTTGTCAAACATTGAGAAAATTGTGAGTTGCATACTTTTTTAAATTCTGAAATCAAGCATATTTTCAGAAACACTGCTAAAATAGATTTGATTAATCCATACAAGAAAGAGAAAGAAATTTTTAAACAAGCTTTGAAGCTAGTTCCAAGCAGAATTTATCTAACCACTGATTTATGGACCTCTTCCACCTCAGACTACTATATGTCTCTCACCGTACATTATGTTGATTAGTGTCGGATTTTACAGAATAAGATATTAGATTTATCTCATGTTCCATCGCCATATAGTGGAGCAATTTTAGTAAGAAGCTATTTCGTTTATTGAAGGATCGGGGCATGGAAAAAAGAATTTTTATTGTTACATGGACAATGCAACATATAATGATGCTTTCATGAGAATTTTAAAAGATCATCCAGTAGAATATGTCATTTGTCTTTGACCAAATTCCTTTAACAAGTCTCAACTTGACAACTTCTATCTTAGAT